GCGTTTGGGGGGTCGTGTTGGGGTCCTGCAGTGGGTGGGGAAATGCAGAGGTGAAATCAGAGAAGTCTCATTTCTGGACCAGAAGGAGGAGGGAGCAGGGAGCTGGTGCTGGGAGGCCTGGGCATGCACTTCCAGCAGGAGGTAGAAGGAGGGGCAGTGGGGGCCACTGGACAGGACAAGAGGATCTGGAGCACATGGGGGGGGGCTCCCCTTGAACCTCTTTATGGAGCCACAGAAGTGTCCACTCCCAATGACTGGACCTGCACCGCAGGGCAGAGCAGGGTCAGAGGGCCCTATGGAGACGCTCCAGGGCCTCGCCGAGTCCCCCAGGGCTGACAGTGTGGGGGCTTCCCCAGCACCAATGTGGAAGCTGGCATACACAGTGGTCTCAGATACCCATAAGGCTCTGGGCAGCAAGAGGGCACCAGCATAGGGGCTCTGTGCTCCCTCAGAAATGGGGGCCCTCCAGGCCTGCCCACGCCCAGCAGCCCTGACGGCGTGGGATATTGTGTGGGCACTGAGCTCACAGGCCATGGAGACAAGGCGCCTGTGTGCCAGGCCCCGTCCGCAGGGCTGGACCTCTCCTGACCCCCTTGCAGACCGTCTCCCGCAGAGAGAATGCTGCTGTGCGCCTGACATTGCTCACAGGTTGGGGCCCATAGTTTCCCGTCATCCCTGCACTGACATCAGGAGAAACGCCAGCCCCGAAACTGAAACCCATCATTCTGGTTCTGCAGCCTCGGCTGCCCTGCAGGCCTCCTGTCAGAGTCAGAGGGGCTGAGCCAGCGCAGAAGCCGCACAGCCCAGGAGCAGGTCTGCATCCCTGTGCTGCAGTCACACATCCTCCGGTCAAAGCCCGCCAGCTATGGGCCACAGGAGGACCTGTTCCTGTCACCAACCGGTGGCGTCAGGCCTGTACCCTGTGCTTGTGGTGCAGGTGCTGAGCACCTGCTTCTTGTTGTGACCTGCAGGAGCTCAGACCTGTGCCAGCCACACCTGGGCCAGACACCTGTCAGGACACGCCTGAGCCAGGGCCCACCTGTCCTATAAATGTGAGCTGGTGACACCTGTGTTGGCTCACAGACCTGTGCCAGCACACACCCGGGCCATGGCCCACCTGTCTGTATACGTGTGAGCCGGTGCACACACATATCAGCTCACACTTGGGCCAGAGCATACCTGGCCTGGCACAATGCATCTACCTGGGGCCACTCGGTGTGTCTTCAGTGCAGCCAACATGATGCTCACGGACCACTGTGAGCCTCTCCTGGGTTGTCTTTCGGTCTCACAGCCACTGAGACATCACCTGATTCATATCTGAAGACATTGGCCCAGGCCTGGATATTTGACACCAGCGACCCTGTACTGGGGTACATAGTGTCCCCCAAAATTCACATCTATCCAGAAATTGTGAATGTGAACTCACCTGGAAATGGTTTTCTCAGGTGTGATCACATTGAGGTGACTGAGCCCTCATCTACTGACCGGTGTCCTAGAGGGAAACGGAGACACAGGCCACCGAGGGAGAGGACACAGGGGAGGTTGGGACGCCCAGGACTGTGCAGCCACTAGCAGCCGGGAGACACAAGTAGACTCCTTCCCTCAAGCCGAGAGGGGCGCCAGCTGTCCTGGCCTCAGAGAATGTGGGGTTGAAGCCCCTGCTGTGGTCACTTGTTATGGCAGCTACAGGACACTCTCATCCGTAAGGATATGGGGTTACTGATCCCAGCCCTGTCCAGCCCCTGGGTGTCCAGAGGCTTGCTGTGGGTTGGGGCATCTGGGGGAAGCTAGGGTCAAAGAGCAGGATCTGGGTTAACAGAAGGAGGAGGGGGCATCTGGCTGAGACCAGCGCACCCTGGAGAGTAGGGGTAACAGGACAGTTAGTGGGGCCCTTGGAAGCCCTGCTGCCAGGGCCCTGGGGCTCCCAGGAGAAGCCCTGTCAGCACCCAGCTCAGCACCTGGGCACCAGCCTGGCCCCGGCCGTGCCATCGCCCATCAGGTGGGGGCACCGATTCCGGGGAGGGAGGCCGGGGCAGCCCCACATGAGCTCGGCCGGCAAACCACGTTCTTTAAAAGGCAAAAACCAAGTGAAAACAATGACAAGTATTTGGCTCCGGAGATCTGCGTGGAAAGGAGCACGGTGAACAGTAGGCAAGCTCTACACAAAGCCTGGTGCTGGGTTCGCCTGCGCCCAGCCCCCCAGACACCAGCCAAACGCAATGACGCCGGGTGTCTCTGGAAAACTGCGTGCAGCGGCGCACAGAGGCACGGGAATGTCTCCCACGGACACATTGTTTTTTTAAAAAATATATAATAACTTAGTTTGCACTTTACAGCATTTCCAACCGATCGGTTGGGGTCTCCTTGGCCGGAACTCCACACACAGTCGCCCGGCGTCCAACCCGATCGCTGGGTCCCCCGCGGCCACCCCGCGGTCACTCCATGGGCATCTCGCAGGGGTTCAGGCCCCGCGCCTCCGCGTCCCGGTACACCCGCCGGAAGTCCTCCAGGCGCGGGGCGCAGCCCAGCTGGGCCTCCCCGAAGCGCAGGTGCCCGGTGAAGAGGAACTCGCCGCGTCCGGGTCGCACGCCGCAGGCCAGCAGCGTGGCCACGTGGCCCCGCCAGCCGCCGCCGGGCATCGCGCGGAACACCCGGCCCTTCTGCCGGTAGACGTGGCTCACGCGCAGGTGGATGGCCGACTCCTGCCGCTCGGGGGCGTGGGTGACGTCCTGGATGGCTCCTCGGACCACTGCCGGGGAAGGACACGGGTCAGTGGGGTCAGGGAGGGGTGTGGGGGCCGGGCCGGTGAGGGGGGCAGGGGCCGGGTCAGGGAGGGGGGCAGGAGATGGGCCAGGGAGGGGGTAAGGATGCCCGCTGAGCAGACACATGCTGCCATTCGGTGTGAGCAGGCCCTGGGTTGGAAGCCGCTCCTGGCCTCTGCATCCCAGGGATCCTCCTTAAAGAGACAACTCCTGCCCTAGCCGGTGTGGCTCAGTGGCTAGAGCGTTGCTGGCCGGAGGACCACAGGGTCCCGGTTCCATTCTGGTCAAGGACACATGCCCGGTTGCAGGCTCTTCCCCAGCCCAGGCCCTGTTTGGGGCACATGCAGGAGGCGACCAATCGACGTGTTTCTCTCACACTGACATGTCCTTTCTTCTACTCTCTAAAAACCAATGGAAATGTCCTCAGTGAGGATTAAAAAAAGAAAGGGTAGCTCCTGGGCATGAGGCTGCCTGGAGTGGTCCCAGCACCCAGCTCTGTCACGGGTGGGAGGCCCAGCCACACATGTGTGAGAACATGGAAGAAACAAACCACTCGGTGCGTCAGAGGTTCAAGTTGGGACAAGAACAGTAACGAGAGTTCATGCACAAGATCTGCATCAAGACTGAAGAGGGTGACGCTGCGGGGCGGAGGGTGAGGGAGGACAGAGAGAGGTCTGCCCTTGTGGGCCCAGTCAGAAGCCTCTGGTTCCCCAGGAACCTGCCCTCGGGGTGGCTGCCCTTGGGCTTGGGGCTCAGTTCTCCCAGCTGTGCCAGCTGCCATCCTCTGCCTGAGCTGAGTGCCATGCCTTGGCCCTAGGTCCTACCAGGACCTGGAACTCCCACTGTGGCCTCTTCGGGAGGCCTGGCGGAGGGGGAGACTCTGAGGTGAAGCTTCCAGAGCGATGACATCGTCGTGTGCAAAGTGGGACAAAGCCCCTTGATCACATTCAATAACAGGAATTCCCAGCCCTCTCCCTGCCCTGCCCAAGGTCCCTTCCCTGGGGCTGGAGTCACACGGGCATTGACCATGGAAGAGGAGTGCTGAGCCTTGAGGCCTCAGCTTCCTCCCTGCAGAGGTTGGAGCCAGTGCCACAAGGTTCTCTGAGGCCAGGTGGGGCACCCTCCCCACAGCGGAACCAGGGCACTCACCGAAGTCACTGGTGCAGACTGCCAGGAGCACCTCGGTGTCGCTGCAGGGCCGGCAGGGAGCTGCAGGAGCGAGCAGAGGGGCGGGTGGGGTGCATCAGGCAGGGCATGGACGTGCATCCTTCCCCCCGGCGGGGCCCCTCCACACTGGATGACACCCCAAAGGTGCTCTGATTTCCAGCAGTGCCTCTATGCCCCCCAGCGCCACAGTCACACCACGGCCTCAGTGTGCGGGCTGGGGGCTGACTGTAGGGACCCCAGGCCCACCACCCAGTGACTGCACCCTCGTGACTCAGTAGTCAGAGCAGCTGTGCCCCACAAGCAGCCACTGGACTCAGTGAAATCCTTCCGTGCCTAACACCAACGCGGACCAGCATGCTCTGAGCAAAGCCTGTCCTTCCGCCCGCCCAAGCCAGGGCTACCATCACTCTGCCTCCGCAGCCACTCCCCGAAATGCCAGGGCTGCCCACTCACACGCCGACTGCTCCTCCGCGTCCCCCCTGCCACCTCCATTCCACTGGTCAAGATTCTGCCTGGGAGGGCCCACGAGGCCACAGCCTACTAGGTGTACCAGTTAATAATGCAGATTTTTTTCAATAGATGGGAGTTACGCATAGATTGATATGTCAAATTTTCTGAAGGTGTTAACATCATAGATATTTTTACCCTTAAAAATGACGAATATCGTGCCCAAAAAAAAGAGCATTTTCGGGAAGTTTTAATTCATTATTTTGAAGAAAAGTGCTGCTGAAAGTTATCGTATACTTTGGGAAGCTTATGGTGAACATGCTCCATTTCAAGACACTTGTGAACGCTGGTTTAAAAGAGATGATTTTGATGTGAAAGACAAAAAACGTACAGGTCAACTATAAAAGTTTGAAGACCAACAAGCATTATTGGATGAAGATGCATATCAAACTACCTGAAGAAAGGTTAAACGTTGCTCAGCAAACAATTTCCCAACGTTTACAAGCAATGGGAAAGATTTTAAAGGAAAAAAAATGGGTGCCACATCAACTGAACAAAAGACAAATGGAAAACCGAAAAGTCATCAGTAAAATGTTGCTTCAACTGCATGAAAGAAAATCTTTCTTGCATCAAATTATGACTGGCAATGAAAAGTGGATTTATTCTGAGAATCCCAAACACACAAAATCATGGGTTAATCTAGATCGACCATCAACATTGACTGCAAGGCCAAATCGCTTGGGAAAAAAGACAATGCTCTGCATTTGGTGGGATCAGGAAGTTGTGGTGTATTAAGAGCTTCTAAAACCAGGTGAAATCATTAATACTGATCCCTACCGACAATAAATAATCAATTTGAACCATGCTTTGATCATAGAATGACCAGATGGGCCAGAAGACAAAATAATTTTGCTTCATGATGACGCACCACCACTTTAAAACTTCAAAACCAGTACGAAGAAGTGGACACTTCAAAACCAGTACAAAGAAGTGGACAATTGGGTCTCTGAATGGTCTGCCTCAAAACAAGAAAAGTTCTATTGGGGCAGTATCCACAAATTACCTGAAAGATGGGGGAAATGGGTAGCTAGCTATGGATGTTACTTTGAATAAAGCACTTTTGATGTTTTTCTTAAAATTATCGTGTTTTCTTTGGATCACAAAATTCACATTATTAACAGGTTAATAGTTAATATGCACTATTAACTGGTTAATAATTATTCTGAATTTTAGCCGGTTAATTATTAATCCAGATTATTAACCAGTTAATAGTTAATCCATATTATTTACCATTAATAGTTAATCTGCATTATTAACCGTAATGCAAATTTTATAACCAATAACTTTAAGAGAAACATCAAAAGTGCTTTATTCAAAGTAACGTCTATCTCCAGCTACACATTTCCCCCATATTTCAGGTAATTTGTGGATATAAAAGTTCCCAATAGAACTTTTCTTGTTTTGAGGCCATTCAGAGACCCAATTGTCCACTTCTTCGTATGTTTTGAAGTGCTGCTCAGAAAGTGCACATGCCATCAATCGGAACAAGTGGTAATTGAAGGAGCAATACCACAGAATAGCACACATATCAAATTGCATATATATCAACATATGTATAACCATCCAGTGAAATAAAATCGCATTATTAGCCGGTACACCTAGGAAAGATATCGTGAACAACAAGGCCCTAGGAACCTTCTAATGCCCCTTCCCCAGCCCCCACCTGGCCTTGAGCCCAATGACCCCTCTGAACACCCAAACACCTTTCAGAGCAGCCCAGTCTCAGAATCCCCTGAAACCCTATGTGTGTGTGTGAGGCGGGGGCGGCGGGGGGGGGGGGGGGGGCTGCTGGCTTCCCAGAGCCAGACGGGCCTTACGGGAAGCCCCGCTCCTCTCAGGTGGGCACAGGGTCTCAGAAAGGTGGGGGGTGGGGGTGGGGGAGGCAGAAACCTGGGCTCTGGTGCCTCCCCGGGACCACACACTCCTTTACCCAGGGGTGGACGTGGGAAAATACAGTTTATTACTTGACTCCACATTACTCCTCTCAAGGCCTCTCCCTCACCTGTTCTGAGTCTCTAAGTTTTTGCACAAATTCTCCTAACTCCATGTGACCCTTTCCTGTTCTAAAGGCCCCAGAATGCCCCAGGCCTTGGCACTCACTGGCCTGGACAGCACTAATCCTGTCTGGGTGCCTGGCTGGCTGACCTTGCGGCCTGGGAACAGGGCTGAGCAACCCTGCCCAGGGGTTGCCTGACACCCCCACCCGCCCCCCAGGAGCAGCAGTGCCTCGAGGGCCCGTGGGGACCAGGCAAGGCACAGACGAGCAGCAGCAGAGAGGCCTCCGGGGCCAGGATGTGCGTGGCCATGGGTCCCGGCACACAGGGCCCCTGGGGTGCCTGGGGTGGACGGGAGCATCCAGAGCGCTGGTGCCGCCATCCCGCCTGCGGACAGTGTGGGTGCAGCGTTCCAGTGCAGCTCAGTGAGGACTGACTCACCACCCCTCCCCCGCACCCCACCGCCCGCTCCTGTGAAGTTACCAGGAGCTGCAGAGCAAGAACAGCCTGTTGAATGAATGGGTTGGAAGCCGCGTCCACCCAGCATCTAGGCAGGCACCTCCCCATCCAGCTCTGAACCCTAAGCCTTTGCCTGCCTGCAGCCTCGGCCTGCAGGAGTGGACCCCAGCCTAACAAAAGGGGTGGAGAGCCCTGGTAGGTGGCTCTGGTGGTTGGAGTGCTGTCCTATACACCAAAAGGTTGCGGGTTCAATCCCAGCAGGGCAGGGTGGGCACATAAAGAAGGCAATCAATAGGTATTTCTCTCTGGCATCCATGTCTCTCTCTCTTTCTCTTTCTCTTTCTCCCTTCCTCTCTTTCTAAAATGAATAAAAACATATCTTTGGGTGAGGATTTTTTAAAAAGATGGTGGCCAACTGGGGGCCCCTCCTCCCTTTCACCCACTGGGACCTGCTGCCCACGCTGCCCCCGATGGAGCAGCGTGATGACGAAGGGGCACGTGGCACGGCCGGCTGTGCGGGCTCTTGTTCTGCCTTGTGAGCAAGAGGCGGGGAGCAGCAGTGACTTCCCGTCCTGGCTGGCACACCCAGTGCCCATGGGATCAACGGCCCCAGCCTGTCCCTCTGCAGGTGGGTGCCGGCCTGGCAGCTCTCCCCAGGAGAAGGCAGGTTCCCCTCAGCAGCTAGGTGTGCAGTGGGTGCAGCAGGTCGGTGGGAGGTGAGGATCCAGCCAGCTGAGCTAGGCCAGGGGACCACTCCAAAGGCAGCAGTCGGGGGGGGGGGGGGGCAGACTACAGGCTGTGATCAAACCCCAAGCCTGGGCATGTGCGACCCAGCCTAGAGCTTTGCCCTCTCCAAGGGTCACGGGCCCAGGTCCTCGGCCGAGGGCTGAGGACAGAGGTGGATACTAGCCTCCCTGGCTCACTCCCAGCCCCACTGCAGAAGGTGTGGGCACCCGGTAGCCCGGGGGAAGGCGGTCAGCAGCCCTGAAAAGCCCCAATGAGCCGATACTATCGACAGCTACAGCTGAGCTAATAAAGCGTCACCCTGGAGACTTCCCTCCTACAACTGTGAGCTGCACACAAAGCAGAGGTCACCTTTGTGGAAACCCAGCCTGCGGACGCCAAGAGAAGCAATCTGGAAACAATTATTAATCGCAGCCGGGCTCATAAAGGCTGTGGAATGCACTGGTTTCAGGCGCATCCAATCTCCTTTCATTACAGGGAGCCGGCCGGGAGGGGCCGCCAGCGGGCTGGTTGGAATGCCGGCCCGTGTCTCATGGAGAGGGGAGGGCTGGGGTGTGGACATCCCAGGAAGGTTACTCTGGAATGGGCATAAAATGAACTCAACGAAGGAAAAAATAACAGGGTATGGGAGACAGGCCAGGGCCATGCAGGGGCCCAGGTGAGGCAGCAGGCACAGGAGGGAGGGGGCGGGTGGTGCCTTCTGTCAGGACCTTGCCACCCCGAGGGGCTTGCAGATGGTCAGATGGACCCTAGTCCCTACTGCCCGCGTAAGGACAACCGGGTGGACGAACACAATTTCCGGAGAGAAAACCGTCTGTAAGGACACCCAGCAGTCAGCTGGTGGCAGGCGGGCCACCAGGGAGTAACAGGGAGTGAGGAGAAGGGAGAAACCAGAATGTGGTGAGCGCGGCAGGAGCATGGTCTGTATTTACGGAGACCAAGCAGGCACTGAGCTGCAGGCAGAGGCTCTGGAGCCGCCTCCAATGATCAACCACCTCCACTTCTGAGGTCACACAACCCGGCCCCAGATGACCCCGCCAGGGTCCCAGCTGGCCACCAGCACCTCCTCCTGTCCTGCTCTCTCCCAACCTCTTCCTCGCCAGGAAGGCCACACCCTTCCACCCCAAATGGGCAAGGCGAAAAAAATTACACAATAATTACAGAGGCCAGCGAAGCCGCCGAGGCAGGAAATAAATGATCCTTGCAAAAATACCAAGTTTTCTCCTTTCCTGTTTCCCGGCAAGACTGAGGTTTCTTCACACTCCTTCTGAACTTTGCCACTCGCCCCCACAGCCATCAAGGCCACCCCCAAATGCTGAGGTGCCTGAGAGGGCCCCTCAGCAGGGGCCTCTGCACCCCTGGGACCACCCCAGGAATCATCTGCCCCTAGCTCATCAAACAGAGCGGGTATTACAGGGGACAGGAGATGAGGCCCATCAGACTGGGGACCAGGGCTGCCCCCGCCTCTGACATCCCGTGATGGAGCGATTTCCATGTGTTCACAGCAGCTCGAGGGTCGTGGGCTTCTGCCCACCCTCCAGCTGTGGATCTGAAATTCCACTGTCTCTCCTCGCCCCACTTGTCTGCTCCCAGGGGTGGGATGCTGTAGGTGGATGTCCCAGGAGCCCAGAGCATGGATGTGCCCAAGTGGTGAGCTCTGCTCCTCGGTCCCCGACCAGTAAAAAAGCCAGACTGTAATTTGGGCCCACCTGGGCTGTCCCACACGAACCGGGACACAAGGTCTGTCCTGGTTCCCCAGTGCCTGACGCAGTGAACCCCTCCCTCCCTGGCTGGTCACCCAACACACCCACCAGCCCACTGGGTGATGGCAAGTCCTGGAGTGCCTGTTTCCTTGAGTGCTGGGACCCCGGGGGAGGACAGTCCCCCCCCCGCAACCAGGCCAGGTTCTACCCAAAGACCCCAACCGATGTTCCCGGCATGGCCCAGAGCTGCATCTGGCTGCTCCCTGCCTTTCATGTCCTGCCAGATTGGCTCAGTGCCATGGAAAGGGTGTCCATGCTCCTCAGGTGCCCTGGCGAGGCCCACAGAGGCAGTGGGAGTTGGGGGCACACAGGGAGCCTGTGGCAGCCAAATCCCCCTCCCCCTGGGCTGGGGTCCCCTCCCACTGCCCGCAGTCTGCACCTGTCCCGGGCCTGCCTGCCTCTCCCTTCTTGGCTCGTGGTGCATCTCTGTTCACCAAGGAAGCTGACTGTGCAGCCCCAGCGGCCAGAGGGCCAGCACATGCTGCAAATGCTCCCAGCCGACCAGTCAGAGCTGGGGCGGCAGCTCACACCGGCCAAAATGCAGCCGGGAGCCGGTCCCTCGGGAGTCAGCACAACCGTCCCTCGCGGCTCGTCATGGGGAGAAGGCAGGTGCTCACTCCCAGGTGCACCCATGGGCTTTGGGGTCACTGAGGCCTTGGGCAGCCAGGGCCAGAGCAGGACGGAGCCGGCAGCCATGCTCTCTTCCCAGAGCCCGCCTGGCCAAGGACATCACGGCCGCCAGATGGCCAGCGCCGACATTCCGCATTTCACACCCATTCCTCCAGCATTAAAGGCTTAGGGCCGTGCCCCGATGAAAGATGAAAGGCAAACACTTCAGCAGAGAAGACGCCCCGATCTCCGCAGCTCCCCGAGCCTTGGGTGCCTCAGAGTCTGTCCTATGGCCCTCGCTGCCACTTGGGGCCATGTGACTCTCCATGTTGGGGCGTCCTCTCACTGTGGGGTGTTAACAGTGTATGGGCCTGGCCCCCACCCGGCAAGGCCCCAGCACCCCTACCTGACCATCATCCCAGCTGATCACCAAGAAAACAGCTCCCAGGACAGCACACGCACATGCACACATGTACACACACAGGCACACGCATGCACACACCCCGAAAGGCATCTTGCTCCTGGAATTGACACAGATGGTGCACCCAGAAGCCTGGAGGCCCTACCCTAAACATAACCCACACACAGAGACACTGTCATCCTCTGTGCCTCTCAGAGGGAGGGGGGCTTAGCCCCCGGGGCGGGGGGACCTGCTCTGTGTGAGCATCTTGTGGTCTTGGGCTCCTCCTCCGCCTCTGTCCAAGAAACTTTCCAAAGCCACCCTACCTCCACCCAGCGCCTGGCAGAGAAGGGATGGAAACCTAACGCCAGCTCACCAGCTTCCCACGTGAGCACACACACCCTCAGCCCCGGGAGGCCTCTCGAGACCGGCCTGGGCTCCCAGATCACCCCGACTCCTGCTTGCAGGGTGCCACCACTCTGGCATGTTGCTGGGATCTCCATAGGCACGCACCCACAAGATTCCTCCAGACCCAGGACTGGCCCAGGACTCAGGATGTCACCACTTTCCACCTTGGATGTGGATCAGCCCCAATTCCCACCCAAGACTCAACATTCCGGGGGCTGCACCAGAGGAAATGCTGGGACCATTTTTGAATGGCAACAGCACCCACTTCCAACGAGTCACGACCAGTCCACCGGAGAAGAGCACACGAGGGATCAGGGCCCATCACAGCTCTGACCTACGGCCCCTCTCGGGACGCCTGTTACCCTCCACACACACACCCCTCGGAGATGAATGTCTTGCAGAGTCCAAACACACACTCCAGAACGCAGGTACTGCACCTACATCCAACACCACGACTGCACAGACACCCCCCAGGAGGGCCTGTCCGCTGGCATCATGGAGCCCCTGCCTCCCCCAGTCTGAGGCCCACCCTGGGGAGCTCCCGGAGGCTGTGCTGAGGGGGCAGGAGAAAGCCATAGAAGTCTGGCACAGGAGAAGGACCCGGGCTGAGGAGGGGGTGGCGGGAAGCCCACCCACCAACCCTGGCATCACCCACCTGACGGAGCGTGCAGGTCCGAGCCGGCGTGCCAGCTGCTCAGCTCGTACTGGAAGCCCGCGGTCCGCCGGCGGATGTCCTGCTGGGGTGTCGCCTCCACGAACAGGCCGCCCTGCTCGAAGCCGACGCAGCGCACCTGGCCAGGCCCGCGGTCCCCGTCCCGGAAGAGCAGCTGCAGCGCTCCCGTCTTCTCCAGATAAATATTGGCCCCCGAGGAGTCCCCGAGGAGCTTGACGCACAGGGTCAGGGGGTGGGAGGGCGAGACGACGTTGGGGCGCAGGTTGACGCTGAGGGCTCCCGTCGGGTACATCCACTCCACGGCGCCCGCCGAGCAGCGCAGGTACACCTGCTCCACCTCCTTCCGGTGCGCCTCGTGGGTCAGCCCGCTGCGGAGAGGGGACAGGTCAGCCGGCTTCACCCGCTCACCTGCACCATGTCCCCTCCAGCACTGGCTGCTCCAGTGGAGGGGCAGCCAGTGCCCCCAGGCCCTCCCCTACCCCCACCCCTGACGTCCCCTCCAGCACTGGCTGCTCCCAGGGAGGGCAGCAAGCCCTCCTAGGATACCCCCACCCCCACCCCCTGACATTCAGTATCGCTGGCCTGCGGGCTGCAGCTGCAGGTGAGAACCAGGGAAAGGATGGATCTTCCAAAACACAAGCAAGGGAACACCAGGAGGCCTTAGCTGGCTTGACTCTGTGGATAGAGCATTGGCATGTGGACTGAAGGGTCAGGGTCAGGGTTAGGCTTGATCCCCGGGGTGGGGGTCAGAGGACGTGCAGGAGGAAGCTGATCAATGATTCTCTCATCTTTAATGTTTCTCTCTCTCTCTCTCTCTCTCTCTCTCTCTCTCTCTCTCTCTCTCTCTCTCTCTCCTCTCTCTCTCCTTCCTCTCTGAAATCAATAAAAAAATATTTTTAAAAAAGGAAACACCAGGACAACTCTGGCACCAGCCCACATGTTCCCCCTGAGCATGAAGGACAGGAGGCCTCTGGAGGTACCGGGACGCACACACACAACTCGCGCACTCTAGGGAGCAGCTTAGGAATCAGTGAGGAATGTTAGCCATTTAAGGGATCTAGTTTTTATTTAGAGCCTCACTGGCAGGCATACTTTTTATATTTTCCTTTTGGTGATACTTGGCTGCTTTTTCATTCATTTGCAAACCTGAAGACCTTCCATTGGTCACCATATTTTAAAAAATGAACTCAAATGGCATCAAAGATATGAAAGTACTGTTAAGGTTCTCTCCAGGGACAGACTTGGGGAGAAAAGTGTGGAGAAGCCAAAGGGTGGCAGACACCGCGTCTTCCCCAGGGAATGTCTAGAGAACCGGTTTCGATTCCCTCCCCAGGAATCTGAGCAGAAAAGAGTGAAGCTCTGGTGCCATGCTCTCCAAAAGACAGGTCTTCGTGAAGTCATCACGTCAAGCTTCAAGAGGCTGAAACCATCAACAATGCTACAGTTTCTCTCCCCTACTCCAGACTCAATGTCAGTGTCAGCGTGTGCACACACGGCTACGTCACAGCCACCATGCGCCCTGGAGCTCCGCCAGTGCCGGGGCTGCGTTCTGTTCCATGAAATTTGGTTCCGATCAACTCTCGGACAGGTTCACCCACATTCCTGGAATTTTTACTTGGCATAAACAAAGCTCCACTCAGAGCCCCGGCCCCAGTGCGTTACCAGAAACCCTTTCTGCCGAGCAGAAAACACAGCACATATGGTTTGCATTTACTGTGGGTGACTCATGCTCCCAGCTTCCAAAACCCTCACTTTCCACAGACTGGCCCGCGGCTCGCAGGCACTCTGCAGGCCACATCAGAGGGAGGTGCCGGGAGGTGAACCCTCCTAACCCACACGCCCGGGGTCAGGAGCCGCCAGCCCGGCCTCAGACGCCTACCAGGGCTGCACACACGGAACCGACGAACAAATTACAGTCACATAAAACACACACAGGCCCACGTGACATGCAGGTGGGAGTGGGAGTAATTATATGCTGGGTGAAAAATTAGACTAAATGGTAAGTGGCTGCCATGGATCATTATAATCAGCCCTCCTCTTACGCAGCCAAAACAAACTTCACCAGAGCGCCCCTTCTCTCTGGGTTTCCTCCCCGAGAGGGGTAGCTGAACCCTTGCCCCGAGCCCAGGCGCCCATTCCCAATCCTCTCTCCCACAAAAACCACTCTGCCTGAGGCTTTTCTTCTCTGTCAGTGGGGCAAAGGGGGCCCTCGGGGTTGAGGGAGTGAAGAACCGAGAGAGAGAGAGAGAGAGAGAGAGAGAGAGAGAGAGAGAGAGAGAGAGAGAAACATCAATGATGAGAGGATCACTGATCGGCTGCCTCCTGCAGGCCCCACACTGGGGATGGAACCCACTACCTGGGCCCATGCCCTGACCAGGAATCAAACCGTGACCTCCTGGTTCATAGGTTGATGTTCAAACACTGAGCCGAGCCCCGCTAGCCGGCTGGCTCTTTGAACGAGGACAAGGACTCTTGGCCTGTCTGGTTCCTACCAGGAAAGAGCCACGTCGCCCACCTCTAAGCTTCCAGTGCCGCAGCATACCCGAAAAAAAAAAAAAGAAAAAAAGAAAAAAAAAACTTTTATTTAGCCGAAACTGGTTTGGCTCAGCGGATAGAGCATCGGCCTGCGGACTGAAAGGTCCCTGGTTCGATTCTGGTCAAGGGCATATACCCTGGTTTCGGGCACATCCCCAGTGGGGGGTGAGGGGGTGTGCAGGAGGCAGCTGATTGATGTTTCTCTCTCGTCAATGTTTCTGGCTCTCTGTCCCTCTCCCTTCCTCTCTATAAAAAATCAATAAAAAATATATTTTTTTAAAAACCCTCTATTTATGGAAAAACACACCGTGCCTGAATATTCACCGATGATGGTTTGTAGCAATATTCACATGACATCTAACCAGCCCCTCCCCGTAAAGCAACTGTTTTCTGATGTGATGAAGTGGCAGGATACTGTAGTTCTACTCAACTTAAGGGAAGGAGAAGACTGGTTTGATCTTGGAGTACTTAAACCAAGTCAATGCCTTGGTCCTTAAAAAAAAAAAAAAAAAAAAAAAAAAGAGCTGGCAAGTGTCACTGCCCCACACCTGGGGAGCACCTTTGTGGGAAAGACAGCAGGTTCCCAGTGGATGCGGGATTTTCCAATGGGGTCAGCGGTGTGGTGGCAGCAGAGCCCACACCCCTCTCACCCCAGCAGACGGGCGCAGACCCTGAGTCACCGGGAGGAAACGCTGGCCTCTTGTTTACGAAGAAAGAAGAGTTTCAGGCCAAGCCCAAGGCGGGAGAGACAGACGGCCCAGGTGTGACGCAGGTCAGTGCCCTGCCCCGGGCAGCGGTCCACCTTCAGGACCAGGTGCAATGCCGACAAGCCTGTCCTGTCTGAGGGCATGGGCGACAGGCTTCAGCACCACCCCTTAGCTCAGGGTTAGTGTGGTCCAGACACGCCGAGGCTGTGGGTTCAATCCCTGGCCGGGGCACATAGAGAACCAAGCAATACGTGCATCAGTCAATGGACTAACATTCATATTCCTCTCTCTCTCCCTTCTCTCAAAGTCAATTTTAAAGAAGACAAACCCAAGCCTACTTAACTGCTTGGGAACACCCAGAAACATGTGTCATAAAGAGCAACTCCCTCCCTATCAGGGGTCAGAATCACCCCATAAGGGGGGGGGGGGTGTCTTTACAGAGACTCAAAACTCCCGAAGGCTCCAGTCCGCGGGCAAACCGCACCCTGGCTTCCAGCGAGCAGCATGATCACTGGGGGTGCAGTCACAGCTCCACTGAGGCTATGGCCAGGAATGCGACCTGGCTGCTCCCCCCACAGCCCCCCAATGGCTACGGGGCCTGGCGGGAGTGTTATGTGTGTGTGTGTGTCTGTGTGTGTGTGTGTGCATTAGCAGTGAAGGAGGCTCAGAGAAGTGTCCCTCCTTCTCCAGGTGATAAAAGGTGAAGGGAATCCTCTTCCCTCTGCAAACACCTCCAGGAGCTGGTTGCCCCCCCACCACCCACCCACACCCTGGAGAGGCCTCAGGGCTCAGCCCTCCAGGCAGACAGTCCTCCCAGACGATAGAGAGGGTGTTTACTCCTCCTTGGGAAACTCGGGCTCACGAGGTGAGACTGGGTTCCTGCTTTGGATCTGTGCAAGCGGGACATCCCAGGTCTCCTTGCCCTGATTGATTCTGGAGAGGCTGCGAGCAGGGAGTTTAATTCCTGGCAGGGGCAGGGGCAGGGGCAGCGCAGGGGCAGGTGCTGCCCAAGCGGAGGGGTCCGAGAGGTCGGGATGGCGCCAGCAATCTCCACGCCAACCCTCCCCAGAGCCCACCTGCCCTCCACTCCGGTCCAGGCGCAGCTCCTCTATCCCTGATCCCATGTGTGGGGCGCGGATCGGGGCAACCTCCGGGCCCAGACCTCCGGTCTAGGCGGGGTCATGGCCGGGTCATCGCCAGCGTCCTGGAAGAGCCGGTCTGCAGTGCCGCGATGACCTGGGCGCCCGGACACAGAGCCCAGGGCGCGGGCACAGCCCCTCCTCCTCGGAAAGCCGTCTCACCCCCAGCGATCCCATGACCTCCCGCCTGCCCGCGGGAGCGTCTGCAGCGGGGCTGCCAGGGGCTGCTCCCGGACCGGCCCCCGGCCCCCAGCCCCTGGCCCCCGGCCCCCGGCCCCCGGGGAGCATCTGCAGCGGGACTGCCCGGGGGCTGCTCCCGGACCGGCCCCCGGACCCCGGCCCAGCCGCCCGGCCCGCGGCGTTCGGAGGAGACACGCGCCCCCCGCGCAAACGCCCGAGTGGAGATCGGGGCGCGGAACGGCTCCCCCGGAGCTGCCAGCGGGACAGGGACGGGCCCGGGGCGGCGGTTCCCTCGGGTGGCCGCGACCGCTCCCTGCGGCGGCCACGCCGTTCTCACCCGGGTCCGCGTCGTTCTCACCGGGGTCCGCGCCGCCGCGGAGGGGCCGGGAGGGGAGGGGGTCGCCGGCCCGGCGCGCGGCCAAGGGCGGCCTGACCTTCACGGAGGCGGGGCCGGTCAGGTCCGCCCCGGACCCGCGCCCAGTCTCCCCCGCGCGGACCGGTCAGCGCTACGGCCACGGCCACGGCCCCGCTCTGGCCGCCGCCCCCTCCGCGGCCCGCCGTCCCTGCCCGCTCGGCCCCGGCGCAGCCCGGCCCCTCCAGCGGGCCCCTCCCGCCCGCGCCCCGCGGCGAGGCCGGGGGACCCGCGTGGAGCCGGCGCGACCGGGCGCGGGGCGAGCAGGCGGCCGGCCCGGATGGACCGAGCGCGGCCAGCGCCTCCGGGCGTCCCGGGACCCGGACCCGGACCCGGACGCCGCGGGCCCTTTTGTTCTGAGGCCGCAGAGGGGGCCATGGGGGCGGAGGGGACAGCGCTCCGCCGGGAGGGACCCCAGCCCTCCAAGCTCTGCCCGCGGGAAGGGAGGGGAGGGGCGCGGATCACGAGCGGGGACTCACCTCCCGGTCCAGCTGCACAGGTCGCTCGAGTACTGCGCGCCCGCGCCGCCCAGGAGCGCGGCCAGGAGCGCGGCCAGGAGCAGCAGAGCCGGCGGCGGCTGCAGGGCCGGCGGGGACGGGGGCGGCGGGGACGGGGACGGGGACCGGGGTCCTGGCCTCGGCCGCCCGGCGCGCCCCCCGGCCGCCCGCGCCGCGCCCCGCATGCTCCGCTCCCGCCCCGCAGACCCTCCACTCGCGGCCGGGCTCCGGCTCCGGGTCCGGGCGTCACGTCGCGCGCCTCCCGCGCCCCCGGCGTGGCCGCCCGCGCATCGCGGCCGCTGGCGCCTCAGGAGCCGCTGGCGCAGCTGGAGCCGCTGGAGCCTCCGGAGCCGCTGGAGCCTCCGGAGCCCCGCGCCAGCGCCGCCGCCCGAGCTCTGAAGCCGGGGAGTCAGCAGCCCGGTCCCGGCTCCGCTGGGGGCGGTGCCGCCGGCCGCCCGCCCCGCCCCGCCCCGCCGCCGGAGCCCGCCCCCCGCCGCCGGGAGCTGCCGCCCGGAGTCGGGCACCTGGTCCCGGCGGGGTGCGGGGGGCGAGGGGCGGGATGCAGAGCAGCGTCTCAGGGTGAGGCAAGAAGGTTTAAAACATGCGATGCCTGCCTAGTCAGGGGCCATGACCTCCTTTCTCTTAGATTGTCCAATTTAAAAATGGCAACAGCCAACACAGTAGCCACCTGATGTAAATGAACCAAAATTATACCTATTTTTTGGTCAGAGTGGCAAAAAAATATATTTTTAGTGTGCCACAGAATTTTAACAACTAGTTTGTGTACCATGAGATGAAAAAGGCTGAAAACGGTGGATCTGGACTTTAGGGGCCAGGATGCTGCAAAATCCTACAATGAGGAGGACGACCCGCGCGCCGCGCCCTGGCTGTGTGGAAATTTGGTGAAGCAGGCATCGGAGGGGGGACCAGTGGATGAGTGCCCGCAGGATGCCCAGGAGCGGGCCTGTGGTCAGCAAACCCACAGACCCCATGGAACGGGCCTCCCTCCCCCACGAGCCCAAGAACCGGATGGAGCCTGAGCCCCACAAACTACCCCCAAATCCTGCGTAGGGGGATGGGCTCAGGCATCCCCTCGGACCAGCGCCGTTCAAGCTCAGTGTGTGATGGGCCGAGGCACTGCTGCCGCTGCCACTGAGAGTACAGTGTGAGGAGAGTGGGTTCCTTTGCCCAGTGGTCGCTGGGGCCACCGGGGCCTGGCATCTCGTGGGGGAGACATTGGAGCACAAGCAGCCCCAGTCCCTGCAGGAAGGGGTATGCTGGAAAGTGGGGCGGGTCTAGGAAGGAGGAGGAGGAGGGTCTGCCCAGCAGAGGCAGGGCCTGGCCCCCAGGCAGCCACTCCCGGCATCACAAAAGCCAGCTTTTCTGCTTCCTCGGACCCTGGTGTGGATCTGGGCTCCAAAGCCTCTAACAGCATCAAATGGGGGAGAGACCTGACCTTGTTTTAGCCTCCCTTTTTCAGCCAAGATGCAGTTCAGTAGGAATTTCAGTGACCCAATTGTGGGGGAGGGAGAGGAGAGGTGGCAGCAAGTGTGTGTGTGTGTGTGTGTGTGTGTGTGTGTGTGTGAAAGAGAGAGAGAGAGAGAGAGAGAGAGAGAGAGAGAGAGAGAGAGAGAGACCACCTGCTCCTGTGGATTTGTGAAGTGCATCCTTGTCCTGCGGTTGGAGTCAGATTGGGTTGGAGTGAACATCGGGGCAGGTGAACATCGGGGGCAGGGCCAGGGCATCCCCAGCAGTGCTGGGCAAGGGCAGGGAAGTAGTTACAAGGAAGGGTGTTTGGAGCAGCTCTGGAACCGAGTAGGTCCACCCTCCCAGCCCAAGCCCGGGGATGGCACTGCCCAGTTACAAGCAGTGATGTCACCCTAAGACCAAGGTCAGCTTGAGGCTGGGCCCCAGGAGGCCTGCTGCACTCCTCCCCTCGCCCATTGAGATGTGGGTTCCCTGCCCCATCCCTGTAAGAGCCTGGGTGCCGAAGTGCTTGGAGAAACAGGCAAAGGGAGACCACCACTAGGCTGTGAGCTGAGACTCTGGAACCTGCGACCAGCTCTGTGCCCAGGAAGAGTGTAGGCCCTCAAGGCAGCGCCTCTGACCCTACAAGCAGCCTCCAGGTCTGGAGGGCCTGAGACTTCACACAGGAGAAGGGGAGGCAGCTGTAGGACACGCGCCCCCCATGTGACACATGCAGGGATAAGTGCTGCTGGCCAGAGTGACCTGCTGCCAGGTCACCAGGGTTCTAGCTGCCAGATGGCTCTTGAGGGTATTATGCAAAGTAAAATAAGCACAAAAAAACAGGCCCTGGCCAGTTTGGTTCAGTGGATAGAGTATTGATCTATGAACAGGAGTCACGTTTGATTCCCTGTCAGGGCACATGCCCGGGTTGTGGGCACGAGCCCCAGTATAGGGCATGCAGGAGGCAGCTAATCAATTATTCTTTTTCATGATTGATGTTTCTCTCTCTCTCTCTCTCTCTCTCTCTCTCTCTCTCTCTTTCTCTCTCTCTCTCTGAAATAAATAAAAAAAATTTTAAATTAAAAAAACACATATGATTTCACTCATAGATGAGATATAAAACCAAAAAGTAATGAACAAACAAACAAAACACACTGGTAGACACAGACGATTGGTGGTTTCCACTTGGGTGAAGGGCCAAATAGACGGTGACAGGAGGAAATAGACTGTGGGTGGTGGGCACACAAATACAGATTATAATAGTGCACCCCTGAAATTTAAACAATGCTATGAGCAATGTCACCTTAATAAATTTAATATTATAAAGCATCCGGAGACCACCGAGCCAAAGGGGAGAGAATGTCTCTGAACTGGCTCCCATCCCCCAGGCTCAGGGCTGTGACCAGACCCTCTGTGCCCAGGTCCCTAAAGCTAGGACAGCACAGCGGTGGCCACAGGATGCGCCCGTGTCACAGCCCACGGAACATGCCTTGGGTTAAACACATATCGCTATTGCTAATGGACTGGAACACAGACCTTATCAGGGGGACTCAGAGGGGGAAGAGGGAGGACAGATGGGAACTCCTATACGATGCTCACTGTCACTGTAAACCTGAAAATTAAGTCTGTGAATTAGAAAATAAAAGCTAAGGCAGCCTGTATGCCTGGCTATGTCCTTGGAAGAACCTGATAGGCTGCTAGGAAAGGGCCTGGCCTGGTCTGCCACAGGCCCTCCCTCCTGGGGACACAGCTACCCCCTGGCTCCTAGAAGGTCCCAGAAACAGGAATTTCCATATTTCTCTCCTCCTGACAGCTAGCCAGCCCTCACAGCTCCGCAGGGTGTGGCTACAGTGGCAGAACTGGTTTCCCCAGCATCACTCAGCTCCTGGGGAGGCACCTGCAAGCTGGGGGCTGCCACCCCCTCCTGGCCCTGCAAAGCCACCTGCAAGATGAGGTGGGTCATGGCTGTCCGAGATTGCCCAGCAGGGCGACCACCCCACCTCACCCCCTCAGGCCTGGCCCAGAACAAAGAGATCCAGCAGGACTGGTTATCAAACCAAAGGGTCCTTGCCAGTTTGAACTGGGGCCCTCCCAGGTGGTAGGAGAAGCTGGGGTGTGATCGTCCACAGATAGCTGAGGGGCACTTACAAGTGAGACTTCCTCCCGGTCAAACCAGGAAGGGGCCAGGGGCCCACCCTCACCCCCCACCGTAGTGAGAACGGAGTCGGACATCTGAGCAAAACGTGGGTGCCTCCCTGTGTTCTCAGTCCCCCAAGTGCCAGGGTGATCGTTGGGAGAGGGGCTGTGAGTCACGAAGGAGGCTGCCCCTCCACACCTTCCCCACTGGGAATCAAGCCCAAACCTGGGCATGTGCCCTTGACCAGAATTGAACCCGGGACCCTTTGGTCCTCAGGCCAACACTCTATCCCCTGAGCCAAACTGGTTAGGGCTCTAGTAATGTCTTTATAAGTGCAGCAGGAACCATCACCTGAGGAAGGAGACTCAGAGGGAGCAAGGTCTATGGGGCTGGGCACCCTTTCCCAGCCTCTGCACATCGGGGTGCGTGCAGGCCCTGAGGATGGTGGATGGGGCCAGGGCTCCGACCTGCCCCTCCCTGATCTGGTTCCCACAGGCTGTGGGTCAGGGTCCAAGTTTGAGTCTGTTCCTGCAAAGTGGGTGGGATCTTGCTTATCTCAGCAGATAGGCCTTGGCTCTGCACAGGTGTCGACGCTGGTGCCAGGTGCCACCCTGGCCTTTGGCAGAGCTGGCAGCCCCATGTGGGGGTGCTCTATCCCCAGGCCTCAGTATGCTCCCCACAGTGTGAGTGTTGTGCACCACTCACATGGCCCAGCCACTGTACACACTGGTGTTTTCTGCCCAGTCTCGAGGTCTTCAAATGCATATGGATGGTCATTCTGTTGTTCAAATGGCCAGCCACCCGAGTTTGCTGGTTGGAGAATCGGCTTCCTCCCCCAGAACCTGGGCACTTCCTAAAAAGAGTTAAAAGTTTTTCCTAAACATGCCCAGGAAATGTTCTCCTTTGGCATTTGAAAACCATTTCTGCCTTGCCTCCTATCACTGACATGGAAACACCCCCACCGCCCAGGTAGGTTCCGGCCAACCCCCAAGCTCCCAGGTCATTTCTGAGGTCGTCTTCATTGACCTTCTCACAGGGACGTAATTATTGTAATTGTGATTCAATGATGTATCACAAGCAAACGCTTGTAATTGGACATTTAGCAACTGCAGGGAGCAGCATATAATTAAGTTGTGAAACAGCCCAGAGAGTGCTGGCGGCTTCATCCCAATACCCTCGACCTAAACCCGAACCTGATTTGCTATTGAGTGTGGCTGTCGGGCATCAAATGGGCACCCAGCCGGGTGGGAGCTGAGGGGCTCCTGACAGCCGGCCACATGCCAGCATGGGCTTCGCGTGCCAGCTGCCTGGCCATGCGTGCACTGGGTGGGCGGCCGGCCTCTCAGAGGAGCGTGGCTCCTTGGGAGGTGGTGTGATGACTGCACCATCATCGCTGTTGCTGGCAGCAGCTGCCTTGGTCTCCATAGTGTCTCACTCAGACTGCAGGCCCCAGGTGGTGAGCTCAGGTCTGTGCACAGGATTCCCTGGGGGCTGTCCCTCACAGGGAAGCAGGCCTTCCACCTCTTGAGCCCCTGGCTGGGAAGCAGAGCCGAGCCCGTCGGTCTGAGTTTCCTCTGGGCC